TACACTACTGGGCTACCTTAATCTTTGGTACTTAAGGATACTTGCCTTTGCTTCTCAATGGGTCACTTTAGTGACTTCGCTTTTGGATTCTAGACGGATTGTTCTGGATATATGAAGAGGCCTGGTAGCAGGATACACTACTGACATGTGCAGGTTTTGAAACATGATATATGGGGCTTGTTTGATGTATAAGTGAGTTACTTAGCTTAGCTTCTTTGTACTAAGTAACTGAGAGATGTACTACTTCAGCTTCCTTTAGGGATATTTGTCAGGTCTTGACTTCTTTAGATGGTTCAAACAGATGACTTACAGAGGTTTAGGTGAAGACAAGGGAATAATGTTGGAGCACATTGGGAGGAGGAAGGCAGCCCTAAAGTGAAAGGCCAAGAGGAAATGATATTTGAAGCCAGTGAGAGTGGAATCCCAGGAAGGTGGCGGCTTCCAGGGCACTAGCATATGAATGATACAGCTAAGGCTGGGAATGGAGCCCAAGCTTAAAAGGCACAAGGAACAAATCTCTGCCTTTCCCAACTGATGCTCTGATCTGCTGCTGGTGTTAGACATTGACTGAGCCAAAATAGCAGCAGGAGGCAACTGAGGTCTGTGAAGTGCAGCGACAGGGTTGGCTTCCTGGTCCATAGAACAGGGCAGAGAGCTAGAACAGGGATTGCAGTGTCAGGCAGGGACTGACTGCGAGAATGAGACAGAGTGTACTTCCCACAGGACTTGGCACACAGAGTGCTCAAGAACAGCTGTGCTAGGGGGGCAGGGAGATGGCTCAGTGGAATAAGTGCTTCCCTGGCAAGCACAAGGGCATGAGTTCAAACCCTGGTTCCGCCAAAAATAAAAAAATAAATAAGAACAGGTGTGCTATTAGAGGGCAAGGTAAGTACTCTCTGGTTAGAGATGACACCTCCTCAGCACCTGAAGCAGCCGCCATGGAGCTCTGCTGTCAGCAAAGCCCTGCGTTAGTGAGACTTTCTGTCTTGGTCTGCTTAGTCTCACAGCTGTTTCTACTGATTTCAAGGCCTTAATTGTCTTGTCTCTGTTCTCATCAGGCTAATTAGGTTGTTTAACCTATTCCCAGATTTGAAGCAAGAAAAAAATCATTTCTAACCAATGTTCTTTTGAGAAAACTGTTCGCGGGCACCACAGATCCCTTCCATATGGTCATCTTCAAAGCCTTTCCTTTTTCTTTTCTAATGGACTGAGACGAAATGGCCATGCTAATGACAATTGTCTTGTGTTCCAACTGCTGCTGCCCCAACATAAGATATGCAATTCCCAACAGCTTTAAAATGTGTTTTAAAGCCCTTTATCTTGTCACAGTTTGGCTCACTGCTGTCTTTCCCCTGCTGTGCTTCCATCACTGTCACTGGTTCAGGGCAGAAGAGGGTCAGATGCTGCCTGGCCTGCACTGCTTGTGAGCACCACTGTGCCTGCTACCATTCTCTTCCTCTCTGTTGACCTGCTTTGGTCTCTTGTCCCGTCTCCCACTCTCCTCAGCATTCACACTAGAAGGCTGACTTCTTAGCCAACATGGCAGGCCAAATGTTACTGTCCTTCAAGGAGACAACCTGCTTAAGCACCACAAATGAGATGAAAATCTTTGGTCCTCTGACTCTTGGCTGCTTCTTGCTGCTGTGTGCAGGGTATGAGGTTTCTGAAGGCTAAACATGATCATGAACCTGCTCACCTTGCAGTGAAGTTAGACCGTAGTTTGGTGTTAAGTGTGCACTCAACAAATAGTGAATTGGGTATGGCTTAGAAAATGCAGAGGATTTGTGACTCTTCAGCAATCTCACCTGAAAAACTTTCTTTGTTCCTTTTGGTGAAGGCAACAAGGTGACCCAAGATGGAACGGCCAGTCCTTCAAGAGATAAGAGGCCAGATGTTCCCAAAGACCTTTGATGTTCTTCATAACATTTTAAAACCAGTTTTTTAGATATCATTTGTTCTTAAGTATAAAGTGAAGCTACTAGATCTCTTGCATCTGATTAAGATGTTAACTTCTGCAAAAATACATGCTTAAAGTTTACTTTTTAATGGACTGTGTATCTCTAATGTGAAATACAATGAATGCTGAATATTTTAGTAAACAATGTGCAGCAGACTCAAGAGAGAAACAAAAACACAATCCATGGGCCCTAATCTCAAAAGAACTTAAGTCTCTATGGACAAAGTTCAAAAATTACAAGCACAATTTAAAACCAGATCTATGCATATTTTATAAATCTAAATATTGGTTTAAAATAATTATGCCTAAGTCATGCGGTCATTAGATATGTGCACTAGGTAATCATTGATGGTATACAGAGTTTATTAAGTATATCATTAAGATACTCTGAAGACCTACTTAGAAAATGTGTATTATCAAAATTCGACCAAAAGTATGAACTGTTTTAACCACAGGACAGATAGGATTTAATTAAGAGTAAACTTGGTTTTCAAAGTAAATTCTGGCTGAGAGTGGTGCCACACATCTGTAATCTCAGCATTCCAGAGGGTGAGATAGAAGGATCATGGTGAGTTCAAGTCCAGCCTGAACTACATGGACACCTTAAGAAAACAAACAACAAAAAGGTGAATTCTGAAAAAAATAAAGGAGGGCTGGGGAAATAGCTCAGCAATCTAAGCATCTGCCTGGCAAGCACAAAGACTTGGGTTCATTCGCCAGTACCACATGCCATGCCAGCCCTGGAACCTCAGGCACGCTGAGCTGGCCACCAAAACGGGGCATGGTAGAGCCGCACACCTGTAATCCCAGTGCTGGGGAAGCTGAGACAAGAGGATCACCAGGAGTCTGAGCTGCATAGTGAGACCCTGTACCAAATAAATATTTTAAGCCCTGCCTCCATGGTGTGGTGGGGAGGCTGAAAACAAGAGGATCACAAGTCTGATCTGCGTAGTGAGATCCTGTACCAAATACACAAAAATGAAGAAGAAAGAAAAAAAAAAAAAGAACAAAGGTAATACTGATCACATTACAACAAGCCAATTCGGATGTCATTAAGACATCTTCACTTAGCTCATTCACAAGTGGCTATGGCACAACTGCATCACTTTAAACAAGGCTCAGTCTTTGAAGACCTGAAAATAATCTGTAACAGCAATTGTTTTATTATATATCAAATAGGCCATGAATAAGCATGTCAACTAAGGATAACACAGACGCTCAGACTAGACCAGTAATGGCACCTCTGGCATGTGTGCTGCAGTGGGCTCTATCACTGCAAGGTCTAATAGGGTGGCCATCTCTGTCCTAGGCTACCTAGAACCTCTTGCTTTAAGCAAGGACAAAACAAACAATAACCTACATTTATTTAAGCATGGGTCTGAGTAGTGTATATGTTAGACCATTCTAGGCAGTATTAATTTTATGTAATAAAAGCAAAAATGTTCAATTCAGTCAGCTAATCCCTGTCTTAACAGAATTTCATTCACTTCCTTAAGTTCTAATACCAACATCCAATACAGTGATGAACCAAGACCATTAAAACCAAACTCACTTCTTTTTCCTTGCAGGAATCATTAGCCCAATTATACCATAAGCTTAATTAACACAAAATTTTCAGGGGAAGAGGTATACAGCTGTCAATAGCAGAAAGCTACTCTCTAATCTTTCCATGAAATGAAATATTTCCATTACTCATTTTGAAGGCATTAAAAAGTCTACCATTAAGGTAGGGGACATAAAACTCACTTGTAATTTTAAGTACAAAGTTAAAGCTACACTTTAACCAAACAGAATAATTATTATTTTAAAAATTAGTTGGAAAGGGTATAGGGGTAGAGATAACAATGTCCATTACAGGGCTGGCAAGATAGTCCAGTGGACCAAGCATCTGCTTAGGCAAGTGCAGGGACCAGGGTTCAATCCCCAGTACCACATGCCGCACTGCCCCTGGACGTGCTGAGCCAGCTACCAAGTCTGGGCATGGTGGTGCATGCCTGTAATCCCAGCATTAGGGAGGCTGAGACAGGAGGAACACTACAAGTCTGAGCTGTGCAGTGAGACCCTGTACCAAATACATAAAAAAAAAAAAGTCCATTAGCAGAGAACGATAGTGATACAGTGTAAAACATTGAATATACTCTCAAAATACTAAGCAATAATTAGACACAAGAGCACACATATTTCATATATAAGAATTTGTAGAACAACAATGATCTCTGATTATAGAATTTAGAACAGTATTTATGTAGGGATGGGCTATCTGGAAAGGGGCATAACAAAATTTTATGGAATAATGAAAGAGTTCCTTTTTTTTGCAATACCGGGGATTGAACTCAGGACCCTGTGCTTGCCAGGCAAGCACTTATTCTACTGAGCTATCTCCCCCGGCCCAAGAGTTCTTTCTTAATTGGGATGGTGCTTGCTAAATCTCATAAATTCTGAACTGTTCCATTCTATGGAGGTAAATAACAACTCAACTAAAAAGTATTATTTACTAGATTCTAAAGTTAAATTTAGGGCTGAGGAAATAGCTCAGTAGTCTTAAGTGCCTGCCTGGCAAGCATAAGGACCTGAGTTCAATCCCTGGTACCATATGCCGTGCCAGCCCTTGTGCACCAAGCTGGCCCCTGAAACCAGGTGTGGTGGTGGCACACTTGTAATCCCAACGCTGGGGAGGGTGAAAACAGGAGGATCACTGAGTCCAAGCTGCATAGTGTGACCCTGTACCAAATACATAAATTTAAATAAATAAAACCTGCTACTAACAGAAATCATCTCCTGAATATTGCTATCATTAAAAACCAACATAGACCATTCAGAAAGCAGATATAAAGCTTTAATTCATTGTGGCCATTTCTCTGATCCGTCTTTGTATTAGATATAAATTGTTTTATGTCTTCCCACAGATTTATCTTTTATAAGACAGTGTTCCTGTGACATACTCTATGCCACACTAACATTTCTTTTAACTAATTAGGGTACATTAAAAATATCTTGAACCACCAATTAAATATAAATATAGAAATTGAATACATATGTTAGAAAGTTTAAATAAAACAAAATTTTAATAAGCTAAATATCATGAAAGTTTACATGTATCGACATTAATTCGAGATATCACACCAGTCTGACAACCAATTACGATTAAAATACAACTACTGTTAGATGAATACATTCAGATTTCAACACCCAATTATTTTCATTTCCACAATATCAACTCCACATTTCATTTTCAGTTCTACACAAAGTAGACCAGTTTTCCAACTTTTTAAGAGGCTTGTAGGCCAAACTTCTTGTGTGATATGAATGACTATCATGATCACAGAAAACTGAATTGATATTTCCTGTACTACATGGAATACATTCACCATAAAACTATATTTAATATATAACATGTAACTCGTCAGTGGTGGTATTCAAAAGTAATTCAAACATTAGCTAAAAATGAGCTTTGCTATCACAATCACTTATTTCATTAAAAGATAAAGTCTAGGTCAAAACATTTAGAAATAAATACACAGTATAGCTTTTCCCCTTCCAAAATACTGCCTAAAAAAAGGGTCTAAACTGACTTAAGTACAAAAATATCTCAGAAAACAAACAGCATAAGATGTAACTGAGCTGTAACATTCCTGAGTCTATTTTCAATTGGAACAAATTCTGCCCCCATTCATTTAGTATGCAAACCCACAGTATCCTTTCTTATCTAGTTCATATCCTATAGAATTCTGAAGACTCTTACTCAACTAATTACACAAGAAAAAGCTGATAATGTTTTGTATTAAAATCTATGTGAATTTCAAAGTCTTTTTTTTTAAACAGTGATGAAAACATACACAGATGTGTACACAGACCACCATGAAACACAGGAACAAAATGTCATTTAATGCTTATCAAATAAGCTCCCAAAAAGCCAATTTGAACATATTTATTTTCATCTACTTTGATACAGTACTAGAAGGGACTGCATATAGTTATGGAGACTGCTGCAAACAACACTTGATGCTAGTTAAGTGTTCTATTACATCAGGCATGCACAATAGTTACCTTTAAAATTTCTCATGTCTATACCTAACATATATCTTAAGCTACATTATGTTTAAAGTCTTTAGGGATTTTAAAGCAAATATTTTAAGTGACTGTCTAAGTGAGGAATATCAAACATTTCCTCCCATTTCAATACCAAATGGTAGGATTAAGCCTTGGTCACTGCAAGTGATATTTAAATATTTAAACTTACTTACGTCATTCTTAAATTTCCAAAACTGATACAAATTCTTACCAATACTAAGTAAGAAATACAGTTTCTCAGCAGCAGGCTGCACACCCTACACAGCATGCCAATAGAGGATTATGTAAGAGCAATGTGCCAGTGGCCACAGATGACAATCACTGAATATATCAGTCTCTTCTTTTTATTCTGGGTATCTTTATTTCAAACCAAATAAAGTTTTTCAGTAAAACAAATCTTTTTCCTTTGGTTAACAACAATGTAAGAGCAGATACAACTAAAAAGCTTTACTATCTTCCAGTGTGTGGAAAAACAGGAAATATTTCAATTACATTAAGAAAATCAGGCATGGGGAATGTAGTACACTGTGTTCTTCCATCTAAGCAGCATTCTGTCATATAATAAAAAAATTGACCAATTTAGATTGCTTGGTTCATGGTCATTTATGGCTTAAAAGTATTGGATCTAAAAATCACTCAGGCTAAAATAAACTTATGTAAATGCATAGGTTATATATCCAGAAAGTCATGCAATAAATGAATGTCTTCATGTACATTAGAATCTTAGTGAAGAAAGGAATCTGCAGGTATTAATAGTAATGTTTCTTCCCTTTTACGAAGAAAATATGCATGGGAGGACCCTGGCTTTTGACCTATTCAAGATTATATCTGCCAGACAATCCTGATTTTCTCGATTGGTAAAAAGAAGTCAATGTCTTGACACCTGCAATAAGACACTAACTGCCTCAAGTGGAGGCGCTGGCAGGTCTGAACAAGGCAGAATTAGACACTCTAGACCTCGTCACTCTGCTGCAAGGTCAGCATGGAATATGGGACTACCAAGAGTATTAAATGGGTAAATGTTTAGAATGATCCACTAGAAATGTTTATTTCATTAGTATCTTTTAAAAATTTTGCCCTTTAGTTTGGGACTTGCCCAGTAAGGAACATTCACTATTCTTGATTTTGATAAGCTCCTACAACGTGAGAGTTGAACTGAACTACAATGATTGTAATATCATCTCTGTACATCCGAGCAAGTTCTTCAGGAAGACTAAGCATTTTGGAGAGGCGCTCATGATCAACAGCCCCAAACTCGTTGTTGCCTACAGCATGGCGAATGAGATGTGTCGCTGCATTCTGATCCTCAAATACTGAGGACATCTTGGCTCTCCTTTCTGTTAAAAGACCATGCATCTGTCCCAGAGTGACCTTGTAGCCACCAACTGCTATTGGTTGTTGGTGATGCATACCAGTTAAGTACTCACCCACAATCTTAACCACATCATGCCTATGCATGGTCTCCCACAAGCCATCAGTAGCCAACACCAAAAACTTATCCTGGGGCCTTAATCGGTGATAAGTTACCTCAGGCTCAGCAGTGAGATAAGGTGGTGTGTGGTAATTAGGAGGGATGAACTTAGTATATTCGTTGTCATTCAACTGGTCTGGGCCAGATTCTATTACTCTCTTCTGAAGGTCAATGCTCCATTTGAACTTGACATCTCCAAAGGCCCTAAAAGGCATCAGCAAGCCAAGCAGCCGATCCTGTTTCACCACGCTCTTGGCCTCATTCTTTGGGTGTTCCAACTTCAGCCGTTCCACTTCTCTTTCATTCTGAGCATTGTGGTCATTAGACAGTGTGACTGCTGACCAAGAGCCATCCTCTTCTTGTACACCTAGCATGGCTCTGCTATCCCCAGTATTGGCCACGTGAAGGTCCACACCATCCACATGGGCCACACAGGCAGTGGCCCCAGAAAATGCCACCCGGAGTACCAGGTAATTGAGGAAAGAATTAGGATCACCAACTTGAGCCTCCAAAGAGATGTCATTATCAAGTCTTTTGAAAGCATTAATTAAAGCCTCCTTCACATCAATATCAGCTGACTCACCAGTATTGAGGTCTATGAGCTCTTGCCAGTAAGTCCTCAAGCTGTTGAAGTACAATTTTGATGCCTCCTTACTGAAGTAATCGTTGGGGTGCTTGTGCCACTGGAGGATGGGCAGTAGTGCCCGACCACTCTCCACTGCATTTTCAATCTCTAGCAACGTCTCATGGGGTAACAAAGAGACAGCAATGTAATAAAAGAGTCTTTCACTGACTGCCTGGGAACAAGCACAGCCTGCATGGCCATCAAAAACCCCCAAAAGCATCCCTCTGGTCTGCAAGCAGGTTGCTGCACTTCTCCGGTCCTCGATGGGTGCATTTGCAGGCAGCTGATTGCTGTCAAACCCAAGGATGGAACTGACATTTTTGCCATCAAATTCTGGCACTTTGAAACTATACTCATTAGCTTTAAGGATACTGTTGACTTGGGGAGGCGTGAGGTAAAACTTCTGTGGCGTAGAAGCATATCTCCTCCCTTGGGTGTACTGCCACCAGCTCTCCTTTGGCCTACTAAAGGTAGCATATGCTGGGTGGTTTGTGTACCTCAGGTGACTCTGAGAAAGGTAGGGTGAGGAACAGCAGAGATGTTTGTGATGGCAGTAACATGCAGTGCCATAGATTCTGCTCAGTTCACAGTTGCGGACGAGAGGGAAAAACAGTTGAGTTGGTGCTGGCATGGCATCAGAGAAGAGTGGCAAGCTGGAACTTCTGACTGGGATTCCTGGACAGCAAATTAAGACATGTACATAGAGAAAAGAGTTACACATCAGGTTAATCTAGCTTTGCTTTTATAAAAAATAGTGAGTTAACTTACATGCTAAGCCCTGTGCTAGGAAGTACTATAATTTATACATGTCACATACTATTTATACAGGATGTGTTATGGTAATTAATACTCCTAATCATTCATGGAGCCAGGCTGGATTGTACTTGATCTGCACTTTTTTCTGTGTTTCTCTTTCTGCGGCACAAACTGCACAGACTGTACAACAGATTTGGCCAGGAAAAGCTGAAGAAATGAAAGTTATATAACACTGTGCCGCAGTAATCTACCTGGCCAATCTCCTTTCCCTCTCTATCCTTTTTAGAAAAGGCCTTGGATCTCCCACTTTGCACAAAGACTTCTTCAATTTCTGAAGACTCTTGTTTTGAGACCTGTGGTCAACTGTTGGCATTTCATTACACATGACTATTTCCGGAAAGTGTTAGGATGCCTCCTCAACGTATGCTATTTATGAATTATTTGCAAATGTTTTATATACACGCACACACACAGAGAATTAGTATTGCATTAATATAACGTACACATACACTCTCCATCTACTGAAATAAACACTCCTTTCTGAACTTCAGTGGATGATCGCCAAAGCCTACCTCTCTAGACCACTGTGCCGGCTTGGGCATAGATTGACCACCAACTGGCCAAATAATCCTGGAAAACAAAGTTCACCTCAGGGGTCTCATTCTCTTAAACTGTAAGTGAACATATAGAAGTAAAGGTTTTCTAAGGCCTCTTTTAGGATTCATGTCTTTATATTAGTTAAGGCTTTGAAGTCAAATTCTCATTTATTTATTGCTGTGCCCTTTGTAGTTAAAAAATTGTTCTAGTAGGTCTACAGCTTTGCTAGTAACACAAATAATCTTTTAGTTCTAAGATTCAATTTATTTGCTACCATGGTCCTCTGCTTAGCAGTTATAACAGAAAGCTACAGAAATGTTATTTTTTTAGTATGGACCCCAAAGGGAATTTAGCACTAGAAAATTTTTCTCTTATGTTAAAAAGAAAAGATCTGTATTTGTGTTTAAGTAGGGCAATCAAGAATAGCTATATAGTATGTTTGGATCATAAAGGTATGGCATTATAATTACAAATTTTTAAAAATCATATGATGCTAAAAATAATCTGCTGGGAATTCATATGGAAAATTTAATGAATGTAAGTCATTATTTTGGGTAATGCATATGTAATTAAAAACCCTGTGTTTCCTCAATAACCATTTTCTCTGAATTGTTAAGATACGGCTTCAAATTATTCATTGATCATAAACTTTAATATTTTAAATAAATAGAGCAAACAATAGGAAATAAGGAGAATAAAGCTGTTTGAGGCTTGTACCAACTATTCTTTCCAGAGGCTAGACCAATTAAGAGAAAAATTTAAAAGAGATATCATAGTGTTAGTGATATATTATTATTTTTATGAAGCTTTTCTACGAGAAATGCTAAGTGGCAACTTAGAGAAGCTTAAATACTGAAAAAAAAAAAAAAAAGTCACCATTTCTTGTTTGCTTTCCATAATGAGCACTGGTTAAGTCAGTCAGAGCACCATTTCCAAGTAGCAGAAAACACAATTATTTTAACTGAGCTATCTAAAAAGGAATTTGTTTACAAAAATGCATACAAGCTCAGACAATAGAAAGTAATGACCGGAATTTTGAAAATAAGAATCCATAACTCAATAAATATTGTGAAATGTAGTAATGCAAAATAGAAGTTCCAGAAAAACAAGAGCCTACCAGGACTAAATAACAGCACTTAAATAACAGCACTTCAAAGTGAATACCTGAAAGTCATCCAAAGGTTACAGACTGAGCCAGGAGATGTGCTCACGTGCTGGGCCATAGGACATGGGCCTCAGGTGCAAATCCTATCTCTTTTTAGGTTTGCACACAAAAAACACAAACTTATTTTTAATTGTGTAAAAATATTTTTCTATTATTAAACGTGTATAACAGATGCAAATTTAATAATAAAATTTCCTGGTAATCTCCTAAGTCTCTATTTGTCCTTACCCGAAAACTTATGATGATGGGGTGGGAGGGTGATAAATGCACAACAGGGTTTGTCTCAAGAACAAGTCCAGGAAACCTGGTTTTTCTTTAAATCCCTGTTTCGACAATTTTTCTGCATTTATAATTGACTGCAAAATGAATGAAGTTTTTGGCAAAATAGTATGATGCATGGAGTAGGCACTTTGAATAATATCTAAATTTAAGCACTCAAATACTCAACTATATTTTTCCTTCAAAGCAAAAGCACTGGAGATTAAAGACCAAAAACAAAGAGTGAAATTTTCAACGACATCTTTTCATTTATTTAGGGGTTTAGCATATGGACTCAGCTCCTCACAAACCTTTAAAACACAAATTCTTACGGCAGCTGGAATTCATGAAAATCCAGCTCTAAGGAGTACAATTTTACATTACTACAAGTGGTATGTACTATACATCCAATCTATCAGTGCATTTTCAAATTCTCTGATTATGCAATCAAAACTCTTGCTGATAAACTTGCTAAATTAACAAAGTTGAAGGGCTTCATTGCGCAGTAAAAACAAGGTCCAATTTTTGGTAAACTGGAGCACTGTCAATGTTTTAGCTTATGCCTAACTACAATTATACTGAAAAGTTCCTATCCAATGGTCCAGACTCAGTCACATTATTGCAGCATCTTAGTCCTAGGCAGATTTGGCTAATTCTGCCAATGACTAAGAAGAAAAAATGCGCTGCAATCAGATATAGGAAAGAGCCTCATCCATTCTTACTGATGCGATCAGCAGAGCCTGTGCCAAGACATTATTCTACTCATCAATAAACCCACAGCCAAATTAATTAGAAAATGCTATCAATGCACCTACCTACTCCGGAGCTATTTGGCTTTGCAAAGCTTCTGATGCAAATGAAGAAGAAATGTTAAAACTAGTCAGGATCTCGGTTTATGTAATCTGATTACATTAGACTCAGTGCATAAAAATTATTTTCAATTTTTCAGCATTTTCTGGAAATGCCAAGCTGTTTCACTGCTCATCTTTACATGAACGAAAAACTGGTTTCCTTTAGAAGACACAAAGCACCGGGCCAGCACTTGTTTGATCAGTTTCCTTTGTCACCTGAAAATCGCACTTATTAAGCTATCCCAGTCCAGGACGCCTTTGTCTTCTTTTCCTATCTATTTCGCTCCCAATTTCATGCCGACACGCCTAACATCATTCACACACAAAATCAGTCACCAACCTTCCTGGGTACCCAACGCAGGTAGTTAACTGGATACCTACCAATTCGTCTGGGCCCGGGACACACACACATTCTCCTGTCATCACAACACGGAGCCGACAACATCCACAACCCGCGCGGACAGCAGCAGCGACAGCAGCACCGGCCCATTGAAAGCAAGGCAGAGATGCACATTAGAGGCGGCGACGGCCGGGAGGCGGGGGCAGAGGAGGGGCGAGGTCTCGCCGCAGCCCGCGAACAAGCTGGGAGGGGGGAAGAGGATGGAGGAGGGAGAAAGGGGTGGGGAGAAGGAAACCAAACAAACCCACCCCGCCAGGGAGGACGAGCGCACCCCAACCCTCTGCGCAGCACCCGCGCGGAGCCCACCAGCGCGTGCCCTGCCCCGCGCGCCCCGTCCGGCCCCAAGCGACGCCTGTGGATGCGCCGCGGAACGCCCCCTCCCGCCGGTCCCCACCGCCGGTGACAGCGGGCGCCAGAACCCGAAGACCGGCGGGCAGTGCGGCGGG